TGAAATATTTATACAGGACATTTGTACACTTTGAAATATTTATACAGGACATTTGTACACTTTGAAATATTTATACAGGACAGTTTGAAATATTTATACAGGACAGTTTGAAATATTTATACAGGACAGTTTGAAATATTTATACAGAACAGTTTGAAATATTTATACAGAACAGTTTGAAATATTTATACAGGACAGTTTGAAATATTTATACAGGACATTCGTACACTTTGAAATATTTATACAGGACATTCGTACACTTTGAAATATTTATACAGGACATTCGTACACTTTGAAATATTTATACAGGACATTCGTACACTTTGAAATATTTATACAGGACATTCGTACACTTTGAAATATTTATACAGGACATTCGTACACTTTGAAATATTTATACAGGACATTCGTACACTTTGAAATATTTTTACAGAACATTCGTACACTTTGAAATATTTATACAGGACATTCGTACACTTTGAAATATTTATACAGGACATTCGTACACTTTGAAATATTTATACAGGACATTCGTACACTTTGAAATATTTATACAGGACATTCGTACACTTTGAAATATTTATACAGGACATTCGTACACTTTGAAATATTTATACAGGACATTCGTACACTTTGAAATATTTATACAGGACATTCGTACACTTTGAAATATTTATACAGGACATTCGTACACTTTGAAATATTTATACAGGACATTCGTACACTTTGAAATATTTATACAGGACATTCGTACACTTTGAAATATTTATACAGGACATTCGTACACTTTGAAATATTTATACAGGACATTTGTACACTTTGAAATATTTATACAGGACATTTGTACACTTTGAAATATTTATACAGGACATTTGTACACTTTGAAATATTTATACAGGACATTTGTACACTTTGAAATATTTATACAGGACATTTGTACACTTTGAAATATTTATACAGGACAGTTTGAAATATTTATACAGAACATTCGTACACTTTAAAATATTTATACAGGACAGTTTGAAATATTTATACAGAACATTCGTACACTTTGAAATATTTATACAGGACATTTGTACACTTTGAAATATTTATACAGGACAGTTTGAAATATTTATACAGGACATTTGTACACTTTGAAATATTTATACAGGACATTTGTACACTCTGAAATATTTATACAGGACATTTGTACACTCTGAAATATTTATACAGGACAGTTTGAAATATTTATACAGAACATTCGTACACTTTGAAATATTTATACAGGACATTTGTACACTCTGAAATATTTATACAGGACAGTTTGAAATATTTATACAGGACATTTGTACACTTTGAAATATTTATACAGGACATTTGTACACTTTGAAATATTTATACAGGACAGTTTGAAATATTTTTACAGGACATTTGTACACTTTGAGATATTTATACAGGACAGTTTGAAATATTTATACAGGACATTTGTACACTTTGAAATATTTATACAGGACAGTTTGAAATATTTATACAGGACAGTTTGAAATATTTATACAGGACATTCGTACACTTTGAAATATTTATACAGGACATTCGTACACTTTGAAATATTTATACAGGACATTCGTACACTTTGAAATATTTATACAGGACATTCGTACACTTTGAAATATTTATACAGGACATTCGTACACTTTGAAATATTTATACAGGACATTCGTACACTTTGAAATATTTATACAGGACATTCGTACACTTTGAAATATTTATACAGGACATTCGTACACTTTGAAATATTTATACAGGACATTCGTACACTTTGAAATATTTATACAGGACATTCGTACACTTTGAAATATTTATACAGGACATTCGTACACTTTGAAATATTTATACAGGACATTCGTACACTTTGAAATATTTATACAGGACATTCGTACACTTTGAAATATTTATACAGGACATTCGTACACTTTGAAATATTTATACAGGACATTCGTACACTTTGAAATATTTACAGGACATTCGTACACTTTGAAATATTTATACAGGACATTCGTACACTTTGAAATATTTATACAGGACATTCGTACACTTTGAAATATTTATACAGGACATTCGTACACTTTGAAATATTTATACAGGACATTCGTACACTTTGAAATATTTATACAGGACATTCGTACACTTTGAAATATTTATACAGGACATTTGTACACTTTGAAATATTTATACAGGACATTTGTACACTTTGAAATATTTATACAGGACATTTGTACACTTTGAAATATTTATACAGGACATTTGTACACTTTGAAATATTTATACAAGACATTTGTACACTTTGAAATATTTATACAGGACAGTTTGAAATATTTATACAGAACATTCGTACACTTTAAAATATTTATACAGGACAGTTTGAAATATTTATACAGAACATTCGTACACTTTGAAATATTTATACAGGACATTTGTACACTTTGAAATATTTATACAGGACAGTTTGAAATATTTATACAGGACATTTGTACACTTTGAAATATTTATACAGGACATTTGTACACTCTGAAATATTTATACAGGACATTTGTACACTCTGAAATATTTATACAGGACAGTTTGAAATATTTATACAGAACATTCGTACACTTTGAAATATTTATACAGGACATTTGTACACTCTGAAATATTTATACAGGACAGTTTGAAATATTTATACAGGACATTTGTACACTTTGAAATATTTATACAGGACATTTGTACACTTTGAAATATTTATACAGGACAGTTTGAAATATTTTTACAGGACATTTGTACACTTTGAGATATTTATACAGGACAGTTTGAAATATTTATACAGGACATTTGTACACTTTGAAATATTTATACAGGACAGTTCGAAATATTTATACAGGACAGTTTGAAATATTTATACAGGACAGTTTGAAATATTTATACAGGACAGTTTGAAATATTTATACAGGACATTCGTACACTTTGAAATATTTATACAGGACATTCGTACACTTTGAAATATTTATACAGGACATTCGTACACTTTGAAATATTTATACAGGACATTCGTACACTTTGAAATATTTATACAGGACATTCGTACACTTTGAAATATTTATACAGGACATTCGTACACTTTGAAATATTTATACAGGACATTCGTACACTTTGAAATATTTATACAGGACATTCGTACACTTTGAAATATTTATACAGGACATTCGTACACTTTGAAATATTTATACAGGACATTCGTACACTTTGAAATATTTATACAGGACATTCGTACACTTTGAAATATTTATACAGGACATTCGTACACTTTGAAATATTTATACAGGATATTCGTACACTTTGAAATATTTATACAGGACATTCGTACACTTTGAAATATTTATACAGGACATTCGTACACTTTGAAATATTTATACAGGACATTCGTACACTTTGAAATATTTATACAGGACATTCGTACACTTTGAAATATTTATACAGGACATTCGTACACTTTGAAATATTTATACAGGACATTCGTACACTTTGAAATATTTATACAGGACATTCGTACACTTTGAAATATTTATACAGGACATTTGTACACTTTGAAATATTTATACAGGACATTTGTACACTTTGAAATATTTATACAGGACATTTGTACACTTTGAAATATTTATACAAGACATTTGTACACTTTGAAATATTTATACAGGACAGTTTGAAATATTTATACAGAACATTCGTACACTTTAAAATATTTATACAGGACAGTTTGAAATATTTATACAGAACATTCGTACACTTTGAAATATTTATACAGGACATTTGTACACTTTGAAATATTTATACAGGACAGTTTGAAATATTTATACAGGACATTTGTACACTTTGAAATATTTATACAGGACATTTGTACACTCTGAAATATTTATACAGGACATTTGTACACTCTGAAATATTTATACAGGACAGTTTGAAATATTTATACAGAACATTCGTACACTTTGAAATATTTATACAGGACATTTGTACACTCTGAAATATTTATACAGGACAGTTTGAAATATTTATACAGGACATTTGTACACTTTGAAATATTTATACAGGACATTTGTACACTTTGAAATATTTATACAGGACAGTTTGAAATATTTTTACAGGACATTTGTACACTTTGAGATATTTATACAGGACAGTTTGAAATATTTATACAGGACATTTGTACACTTTGAAATATTTATACAGGACAGTTTGAAATATTTATACAGGACAGTTTGAAATATTTATACAGGACAGTTTGAAATATTTATACAGGACAGTTTGAAATATTTATACAGGACAGTTTGAAATATTTATACAGGACAGTTTGAAATATTTATACAGGACATTTGCACACTTTGAAATATTTATACAGGACATTTGCACACTTTGAAATATTTATACAGGACATTTGCACACTTTGAAATATTTATACAGGACATTTGCACACTTTGAAATATTTATACAGGACATTTGCACACTTTGAAATATTTATACAGGACATTTGCACACTTTGAAATATTTATACAGGACATTTGCACACTTTGAAATATTTATACAGGACATTTGCACACTTTGAAATATTTATACAGGACATTTGCACACTTTGAAATATTTATACAGGACATTTGCACACTTTGACATATTTATACAGGACATTTGCACACTTTGACATATTTATACAGGACATTTGCACACTTTGACATATTTATACAGGACATTTGCACACTTTGACATATTTATACAGGACACTTGCACACTTTGACATATTTATACAGGACACTTGCACACTTTGACATATTTATACAGGACACTTGCACACTTTGACATATTTATACAGGACACTTGCACACTTTGAAATATTTTTACACTTTCTAGTTCATAGAATTCAGAATTGCTAATTTAATTACATATTTTTTTACAGCAATTGTCACGTATTGTTATTCCCATAATTTGTAAATATGGGTGAAATGGTCCCATTCGTGGTATTAACTAGGAATTCTTCTGTAAATGGAGCCTTCACGGAAGTTAGTGGCAGGCAATCAAATGATAAATGAAAGGTATGATAAAATGCATTTTCTATAAATTTTTATTAAATTTGTGGTCGATTTTTATTGTGGCCCTAAATAATCGATTTTTGTTAACAATGTTTTATCAACTGAATTTTGTAAGAACAATTATTATCGATTTGCAATTAAGCAGAATTTTGTTTAAATCTTTTTTAAATTTAAATTTGCAGCTGTCGCACTCCCATCTTCACGGATATTTTGAAACTATCGAAAGTATTCTTGCTTGGTGAGAGTGTACATCATTTGTACAATTATTTTATGCCCGCGTTTAAATTGCACGTTCGTGCTTAATTTATACTATTTTTTTATGCATAAAACATCGGGTTTGTTACACCTTACATTGACATAATAATTTTATATTATTTTTGCATTTGGCGCGAAAATAGTGAGAGCAGTGCTATAGATGTTTTATTAATTTCATTTATATAAAAAAATTAAAGGTCTAGATACTTAATTTTTTTATTCTAGTTAAATAACAAATTAATACATTACATTTTATGATTCAAATGATTACTTGCATGGTAGCTTTAGCATGGGTTAATATATTATTTATACAGCATCCGTAGTTCTAGTTTTAATAACACTAACAAATACTAACAAAATATTAATCTGTTCTATTATTAATCAACAATGTGATCGTTTGAATCATTTAAAATAATGCAATGTGTATTTTACATCCATCCATCTTTCACTGTTTTCAACTCATAAATTCGCGTTATGTACATCCAAGTGCGAATGCTAAACATTAATTCATGTTATTCATGAGTATTCAGACGAAGTCACATCTTCAACATACAATATACGAAGTCCAGAAAGCTGTAGGAAGTGGAATTATCAAGTAATGTATGAAAACTTGATATATATTTTCATTATTTTATCAATTAATGATACATCATTTAAGTATATATCCATCCATATTACATTATAGATGTAAATATGACTAATGTTTCTTTATTTTTTCAGATCTTTCTAATTCAGCCATCACTGATCCAAAGAAGGTCACTCTTACTCCATATGCAGGAATCTCCTCAATTTATGAAGTATGTATACATCCATATAACTACTAATATTTTTTCTTATTTTTTCAGATCCTTCTAATTCAACCACCACTGATCCAAAGAAGCTCACGCTGACTCCATATCCAGGGGTCTCCTCAATTTATGAAGTATGTATACATTCATATAACTACTGTTTTTTTATTTTTTCAGATCCTTCTAATTCAACCACCACTGATCCAAAGAAGCTCACGCTGACCTCATATCCAGGGATCTCCTCAATTTATGAAGTACGTATACATCCATGTAACATTATAGATGTAAATATTACTAACGTTTTTTTTTATTTTTTCAGATCCTTCTATTTCAAGCACCACTGATCCAAAGAAGCTCACGCTGACTCCATGTCCAGGGGTCTCAATTTATGAAGTATGTATTATAGATGTAAATATTACTAACGTTTTTTTATTTTTTCAGATCCTTCTAATTCAACCACCACTGATCCAAAGAAGCTCACACTGACTTCATGTCCAGGGGTCTCAATTTATGAAGTATGTATACATTCATGTAACATTATAGATGTAAATATTACTAATGTTTTTTTTTATCTTTTCAGATCCTTCTAATTCAGCCATCACTGATCCAAAGAAGGTCACGCTTACTCCATATCCAGGGATCTCCTCAATTTATACAAGTATGTATACATCCATATAACTACTAATGCCTTTTTTATCTTTTCAGATCCTTCTAATTCAGCCATCACTGATCCAAAGGTCACGCTTACTCCATATCCAGGGATCTCCTCAATTTATACAAGTATGTATACATCCATATAACTACTAATGTCTTTTTTATCTTTTCAGATCCTTCTAATTCAGCCATCACTGATCCAAAGGTCACGCTTACTCCATATCCAGGGATCTCCTCAATTTATACAAGTATGTATACATCCGTCGTCGTCGTCGTCTTTTTTATCTTTTCAGATCCTTCTAATTCAGCCATCACTGATTCAAAGGTCACGCTTACTCCATATCCAGGGATCTCCTCAATTTATACAAGTATGTATACATCCATATAACTACTAATGTTTTTTTTATCTTTTCAGATCTTTCTAATTCAGCCATCACTGATCCAAATGAGGTCAAGCTTACTCCATATCCAGGGATCTCAATTTATGAAGTATGTATACATCCATATAACTACTAATGTTTTATTTTTTTAGATCCTTCTAATTCAACCACCACTGATCCAAAGAAGCTCACGCTGACTCCATGTCCAGGGGTCTTCTCAATTTATGAAGTATGTATACATCCATATAACTACTAATGTTTTTTTATCTTTTCAGATCCTTCTAATTTAGCCATCACTGATCCAAAGAAGGTCACGCTTACTCCATATCCAGGGATCTCCTCAATTTATGAAGTATGTATACATCTATATAACTACTAATGTTTTATTTTTTCAGATCCTTCTAATTCAGCCATCACTGATCCAAAGAAGCTCATGCTGACTCCATATCCAGGGATCTCCTCAATTTATGAAGTACGTATACATCCATGTAACATTATAGATTTAAATATTACTAATGTTTTTTTTTTTTTTTTTTTTTCAGATCCTTCTAATTCAGCCATCTCTGATCCAAAGAAGATCACGCTTACTCCATATCCAGGGATCTCCTCAATTTATGAAGTACGTAGACATCCATGTAACATTATAGATGTAAATATTACTAACGTTATTTTTATTTTTTCAGATCCTTCTAATTCAACCACCACTAATCCAAAGAAGCTCACGCTGACTCCATATCCAGGGGTCTTCTCAATTTATGAAGTATGTATACATCCATATAACTAATGTTTTTTCATCTTTTCAGATCCTTCTAATTCAGCCATCTCTGATCCAAAGAAGATCACGCTTACTCCATATCCAGGGATCTCCTCAATTTATGAAGTACGTAGACATCCATGTAACATTATAGATGTAAATATTACTAACGTTATTTTTATTTTTTCAGAACCTTCTAATTCAATCACCACTAATCCAAAGAAGCTCACGCTGACTCCATATCCAGGGATCTCCTCAATTTATACAAGTATGTATACATCCATATAACTACTAATGTTTTATTTTTTCAGATTCTTCTAATTCAGCCATCACTGATCCAAAGAAGCTCACACTGACTCCATATCCAGGGATCTCCTCAATTATAACTACTAATGTTTTTTTATTTTTTCAGATCCTTCTAATTCAGCCATCACTGAACCAAAGAAGTTCACACTGACTCCATATCCAAGAATCTCCTCAATTCATGAAGTATGTATACATTCATGTAACATAATAGATGTAAATATTACTAATGTTTTTTTTTTATTTTTTCAGATCCTTCTAATTCAGCCTGCACCACTGAATCACCTGCCCTCTTCGACTCAACCATCCTTATCGACTCTAATACCTAACACACTGTAAGCGCACATGAAGGATCAGTCGACAATCAATATCTTTGTGCTTGGGTCGGAACACTAATTCTTATAAATTATCCACAAGTGGTTCTTTTTGTAACTGTTTAGTCTTATGCATGTTCTTACTACTAGACTTAATAACTCATTAACAATACTAACATTTTATTATCATAGTTCGATCAGTTACAATAAAAACCACTTGTAGTCACTTCCTTTACTTAGGAAGACTTAATAAAACTGCTCAGAAGAGAACACTTAGTGAGTTACATTTTTAAATTGTATTATAGTAGTCTGAATTATCATTAATTCGATGCTCTTGTTTACAGGGTAAACAATGGCTGCTTCAGGATCCTCACACACCTGCCTGCATTGGACCTGTCGTGCTGTCAGAAACATTTTCTCAATGGTGCTCCTAGAGAAGATACATGGTGATGTGTTAGCATTGGGAAGCACAAAATTAATTTGTGCGTTCAATCAAGGATTTTGACTTGAATAATTATAATATATTCATCTAATTATTAAATAAATACATTGTTGTATCTAGTTCAATTCGTTGTTTTAATTTCTATTAATTATAAAATGTTACTTAAATTACATAAATACATTAAAACTATCTTAATGTTATAGGTATAATAGAAGAATATCATATCAGTTCTGATAGATCAAGACAATCTGAAGTGACAGCAACCGAGTGGCTACATTGTGAAGACTGCGGATACAGCAGTTTGGATATTAAAACATTTGTTGTGCAAAAAATATAAGTATTAGAATATTTTTATACTTTATATATAATATACATAATATATAATACACTTAAGAATTATGTTAAATATATTTATTGATCAGTTTTATAAGCGTATTTGGCATAACTTCTGGCTTCCCTTTTACTTTCCCTCTGAATGAATTGTACTCTGATCTCATCACCCTACTTGAATGTCTTGGATTTTGGTCTCATCTTGCTCGAATGGCCTGCGGCCTGGTCTCTGATTGTACACTGGTCTCTGATTGTACCCTGGTCTCTGACTGATTTTACCCTGGTCTCTGGTCTCTGATTTTACCCTGGTCTCTGGTCTCTGTTCTCTGATTTTACCCTGGTCTCTGGTCTCTGTTCTCTGATTTTACCCTGGTCTCTGGTCTCTGATTTTACCCTGGCCTCTGGTCTCTGGTCTCTGATTTTACCCTGGCCTCTGGTCTCTGGTCTCTGATTTTACCCTGGTCTCTAATTGTTTCTTGCCCTTTGATTCGTTTTCATGTAAATTGTAATGTAAATAGACTTTTATATTTAGTTTATATTATTTTAATCATTTAATACCCGAAACAATATTTTTATATTACAATATTAATAAATCTTTCTTACAGGTTGTATCCAGTTGTTAATTCGACTAGTGCTGCTCCGAAACTTTGTCACGGATGGGTGGAACACTCATTCCCAAAAATAATCTGCAAGTGATTTCTGCGGCTGACTGTCTGCTGTTTATGCACCAGGATGATGGATCGATAGATCGTGCTGTCCCAAGTCACTTGTCAAGATTTTGCTATGTGTTGCATTGAGAAGCCAATGTCACAAACTTAAATGTTTGTAATACATTTATCTAAATATTGAATACAATTATTGTTAACCTTTTAAATTTGTTGTTTTATTCATACCATTATTGTTTTCTTTCATTGTGAGTCCTCAGGCACTCGATCATTTGCTAGAGATACAAACATATTAACTCATTTGCTCATGTAATTTTTTTATTCACCACTCACTGAATTACATAAATATTTATGTCTTTGCATTTTATAGGTATCATGGGAGAAAATCATTTATCAATTCTGAGGAATTAAGACTAGATTGACTAAGAGTGAAGTGACCGGCAACCGATAAACCTCATTGTCATATTTGGGTGTCTTAAACTTCTGGCCTCTAATGACTTCGCTGTCTTTTGTAATTAGATAAATCAAGACAAAGTAAAGTGAACAACAACCGATCGGCTTTACATATATTATATTGAGTATATATTTAAGAATTAGACAGGTCCCAAGTCACTTGCCAAGATTTACAAACATATTGACTCGTTTAATCATGTAATTTTTATTCATTATTCACTAAACCATGGATTTTTACTCAATATAAACATGTCAAAAGCACACATTTTTCCTTTCATTATTTAATGTCTAAGTCATGATTTGAATTTTTACATATTTATATAATAGTAGTAATCATAATTAATAATATTAATGTTTATAATAGTAGCAATTGTAATTAATCTTTGTAATAAGTAAAAATTATTAATTATAAATGCTGTTCTATTGTAGTTAGAGTAAGAGTATGTTATAATAATATAATTATTATTTGTAAGATAACGATCTAACTTATATATAAATTTGTGTAATGCCATCAAATAAAATTATTGAACTTTATCTGTAAGTGTTTAATTTAATTTAATTTTTATCAATTTCAGTGATATATAATTGAACTTGTGTATACTTGCTAATTTATTATCAACTATTAATATTCGAGTCAATTTCAATTAAGCAAATTTAAAGTTTAGTTTAGAAATCCACGAATTGAGTAAAAAGCCATGGATATATATGCATGAGTTTTTAGCGTGAAACATTGAAAGAACAAAATTATGTTTTTGACACGTTTAATTTGAGTGAAAATCCATGACTTTTTAAACAGTTCGAAGTGGAAAATATTAATATTTTAAAAGTTTAATTTGAAACTAGCTACTAATATGTTGAAATTATTGTATATTATACAATGTTAATAAAATTATTGTAATTATAATATCTTTTAATTGATATTTCATGTTTTTAATTAGCTATATACTTTAGTTAATATGAGCACTGAATTAGATTGTCTTTGCAATTTTACTTAGAATTATTTAATGGCTCAAAGACTAATTATTTATTTCGACAATTCTGTGACAAACAGATTAATTAAATAGTTCAATTTAATTAATAAGTATAACTAGTGTTTGTTAGTTTTACTTAACTAAGAAAAATATATTTTTTTATGTATTTTTTTAACTTTAATAAATATGAGCAATTTATTAATTTAATTACTTTATTATTTTATTACTTCATTATAAAGGCTAAGATTGTGTTTGCAATTTTGCTCATAATTAAATTAATTATTTGCACAAAGACTTATTGCAACTGCTCTGTTGCAATTATATCAATTAATCAGTGTATTTTAATTAATATGTATAACACGTATCAGTTAGTTTTACTTAACTTAGAAAAATATTTCCTTAGATCTTACTATTTTTTTCTTTTCTTATATACCGTGTAACTTTAAGAAAAATGAGCACTTTAATTAATTTAGATTGCATAATAATTAGTTCATATTAATTAATACCTATAACTTATATTAATTATTTTTGCTTCTAAACTTATAAAAAAAAATGTATCTTAAAGACTTAGAGAAATTTTTTCTTTTTATCTGTTATAACTTTTTTTTATTTAATTTAACATATTTATAACCTTATTTAAATCCCGCGTGGTAAGGGATTTTTTTAACCCCCAGGTTTGGCGGTTACCTAACCATAGAATCCTGGTTTAAGGTAACCAGGACCCCGAACGTCAGGTAACCGGAATTCGGTGAACCCTGACGCACGGGTTTGGGGTCGGATTAGCTACCCTACAATTTTACAATTAACCCTCTTACCTCGATATTTTATTTTTTACCTTACCTGCGTCTCGAACCTGCTACCATATCCTTCCAATCTTCTATCCCATTCACTCCTCTTAGCCCGCTACTCCATGCTGATCACACCGAAACACCGCCACAAACTGGCTTATGTAGACTCGATATAGATAAGCCAGAAAATAATTCAACCGGCGACGATTTAACAAGTCAAAAGCACAAAAAAAGCCGAGTTTGCCACCGGTTGTCTGGCGTAACGGTTAGCGTGATGGCTTTGTACCGCAAAGGTAACGAGTTCGATCCCAGGATCGGACGGGAAAAAAGTTCGTCGTGTTGGCCGGTATACCATGCAGGCGTGCCGAACGTTACGTTGATGTAATTAAGAAAAGCTCCGTGTAGGTGAAGGGGTGAATGAAGAAAACCTTCCCTGCCTCGGGCACCCTCCCCAGGCATTGCGACCTGGCGGAGGGTGCCCTAGCGGATTTCTTCACTTTATTTACTTAACTAGACGGCGGGGGGTCGGGAGGCCCCCCCACGCGGGCGCGAAACCGGTCAATCAAGAACCAAGCCAGCCAGCCAGCCCCCGAATTCAACGCCACGCGCGTGTGCGTGCACGTGCGTGTGCGCGCGCGTACCTAGCGGTGCAGTATATACATTCTTAAAAATGTACTAGTACGCGTTGCTACGCAACGCGTACTATTACATTTTCAAGAATGACATTTTTAAATAAGTACGCGTTGCTACGCAACGCGTACTTATTTAAAAATGTACTAGTACTCGTTGCTACGCAACGCGTACTAGTACATTTTTTAAGAATGACATTCTTAAATAAGTACGCGTTGCGTAGCAACGCGTACTAGTACATTTTTAAATAAGTACGCGTTGCGTAGCAACGCGTACTTATTTAAAAATGTCATTCTTGAAAATGTAATAGTACGCGTTGCGTAGCAACGCGTACTAGTACATTTTTAAGAATGTATATACTGCACCGCTAGGTACGCGCGCGCACACGCACGTGCACGCACACGCGCGTACACGCACAAGCACGCGCGCGCGCGCGCGCGTGGCGTTGAATTCGGGGGCTGGCTGGCTGGCTTGGTTCTTGATTGACCGGTTCGCGCCCGCGTGGGGGGGCCTCCCGACCCCCCGCCGTCTAGTTAAGTAAATAAAGTGAAGAAATCCGCTAGGGCACCCTCCGCCAGGTCGCAATGCCTGGGGAGGGTGCCCGAGGCAGGGAAGGTTTTCTTCATTCACCCCTTCACCTACACGGAGCTTTTCTTAATTACATCAACGTAACGTTCGGCACGCCTGCATGGTATACCGGCCAACACGACGAACTTTTTTCCCGTCCGATCCTGGGATCGAACTCGTTACCTTTGCGGTACAAAGCCATCACGCTAACCGTTACGCCACACAACCGGTGGCAAACTCGCCTTTTTTTGTGCTTTTGACTTGTTAAATCGTCGCCGGTTGAATTATTTTCTGGCTTATCTATATCGAGTCTACATAAGCCAGTTTGTGGCGGTGTTTCGGTGTGATCAGCATGGAGTAGCGGGCTAAGAGGAGTGAATGGGATAGAAGATTGGAAGGATATGGTAGCAGGTTCGAGACGCAGGTAAGGTAAAAAATAAAATATCGAGGTAAGAGGGTTAATTGTAAAATTGTAGGGTAGCTAATCCGACCCCAAACCCGTGCGTCAGGGTTCACCGAATTCCGGTTACCTGACGTTCGGGGTCCTGGTTACCTTAAACCAGGATTCTATGGTTAGGTAACCGCCAAACCTGGGGGTTAAAAAAATCCCTTACCACGCGGGATTTAAATAAGGTTATAAATATGTTAAATTAAATAAAAAAAAAGTTATAACAGATAAAAAGAAAAAATTTCTCTAAGTCTTTAAGATACATTTTTTTTTATAAGTTTAGAAGCAAAAATAATTAATATAAGTTATAGGTATTAATTAATATGAACTAATTATTATGCAATCTAAATTAATTAAAGTGCTCATTTTTCTTAAAGTTACACGGTATATAAGAAAAGAAAAAAATAGTAAGATCTAAGGAAATATTTTTTCTAAGTTAAGTAAAACTAACTGATACGTGTTATACATATTAATTAAAATACACTGATTAATTGATATAATTGCAACAGAGCAGTTGCAATAAGTCTTTGTGCAAATAATTAATTTAATTATGAGCAAAATTGCAAACACAATCTTAGCCTTTATAATGAAGTAATAAAATAATAAAGTAATTAAATTAATAAATTGCTCATATTTATTAAAGTTAAAAAAATACATAAAAAAATATATTTTTCTTAGTTAAGTAAAACTAACAAACACTAGTTATACTTATTAATTAAATTGAACTATTTAATTAATCTGTTTGTCACAGAATTGTCGAAATAAATAATTAGTCTTTGAGCCATTAAATAATTCTAAGTAAAATTGCAAAGACAATCTAATTCAGTGCTCATATTAACTAAAGTATATAGCTAATTAAAAACATGAAATATCAATTAAAAGATATTATAATTACAATAATTTTATTAACATTGTATAATATACAATAATTTCAACATATTAGTAGCTAGTTTCAAATTAAACTTTTAAAATATTAATATTTTCCACTTCGAACTGTTTAAAAAGTCATGGATTTTCACTCAAATTAAACGTGTCAAAAACATAATTTTGTTCTTTCAATGTTTCACGCTAAAAACTCATGCATATATATCCATGGCTTTTTACTCAATTCGTGGATTTCTAAACTAAACTTTAAATTTGCTTAATTGAAATTGACTCGAATATTAATAGTTGATAATAAATTAGCAAGTATACACAAGTTCAATTATATATCACTGAAATTGATAAAAATTAAATTAAATTAAACACTTACAGATAAAGTTCAATAATTTTATTTGATGGCATTACACAAATTTATATATAAGTTAGATCGTTATCTTACAAATAATAATTATATTATTATAACATACTCTTACTCTAACTACAATAGAACAGCATTTATAATTAATAATTTTTACTTATTACAAAGATTAATTACAATTGCTACTATTATAAACATTAATATTATTAATTATGATTACTACTATTATATAATATGTAAAAATTCAAATCATGACTTAGACATTAAATAATGAAAGGAAAAATGTGTGCTTTTGACATGTTTATATTGAGTAAAAATCCATGGTTTAGTGAATAATGAATAAAAAATTACATGATTAAACGAGTCAATATGTTTGTAAATCTTGGCAAGTGACTTGGGACCTGTCTAATTCTTAAATATATACTCAATATAATATATGTAAAGCCGATCGGTTGTTGTTCACTTTACTTTGTCTTGATTTATCTAATTACAAAAGACAGCGAAGTCATTAGAGGCCAGAAGTTTAAGACACCCAAATATGACAATGAGGTTTATCGGTTGCCGGTCACTTCACTCTTAGTCAATCTAGTCTTAATTCCTCAGAATTGATAAATGATTTTCTCCCATGATACCTATAAAATGCAAAGACATAAATATTTATGTAATTCAGTGAGTGGTGAATAAAAAAAATTACATGAGCAAATGAGTTAATATGTTTGTATCTCTAGCAAATGATCGAGTGCCTGAGGACTCACAATGAAAGAAAACAATAATGGTATGAATAAAAACAACAAATTTAAAAGGTTAACAATAATTGTATTCAATATTTAGATAAATGTATTACAAACATTTAAGTTTGTGACATTGGCTTCTCAATGCAACACATAGCAAAATCTTGACAAGTGACTTGGGACAGCACGATCTATCGATCCATCATCCTGGTGCATAAACAGCAGACAGTCAGCCGCAGAAATCACTTGCAGATTATTTTGGGAATGAGTGTTCCACCCATCCGTGACAAAGTTTCGGAGCAGCACTAGTCGAATTAACAACTGGATACAACCTGTAAGAAAGATTTATTAATATTGTAATATAAAAATATTGTTTCGGGTATTAAATGATTAAAATAATATAAACTAAATATAAAAGTCTATTTACATTACAATTTACATGAAAACGAATCAAAGGGCAAGAAACAATTAGAGACCAGGGTAAAATCAGAGACCAGAGACCAGGGTAAAATCAGAGACCAGAGACCAGAGGCCAGGGTAAAATCAGAGACCAGAGACCAGGGTAAAATCAGAGACCAGAGACCAGGGTAAAATCAGAGACCAGAGACCAGAGACCAGGTAAAATCAGAGACCAGAGACCAGGCCAGGGTAAAATCAGAGACCAGAGACCAGGGTAAAATCAGAGACCAGAGACCAGAGACCAGGGTAAATCAGAGACCAGAGACCAGGACCAGGGTAAAATGAGAGACCGAAACCAGAGACCAGGTAAAATCAGAGACCAGAGAGCAGAGACCAGGTAAAATCAGAGACCAGAGAGGAGACCAGCCAGGTAAATTAGAGACCAGAGACCAGGACCAGTGGATAAATCAGAGACCAGAGACAGAGTCCAGGGAGAAAGACCAGAGACCAGAGACCAGGGTAAAATCATAGACCAGAGACCAGGGTAAAATCAGTCAGAGACCATTCGAGCAAGATGAGACCAAAATCCAAGACATTCAAGTAGGGTGATGAGATCAGAGTACAATTCATTCACAGAGGGAAAGTAAAAGGAAGCCAGAAGTTATGCCAAATACGCTTATAAAAATGAATCAATAAATATATTTAACATAATTCTTAAGTGTATTATATATTATATATAAAGTATAAAAATATTCTAATACTTATATTTTTTGCACAACAAATGTTTTAATATCCAAACTGCTGTATCCGCAGTCTTCACAATGTAGCCACTCGGTTGCTGTCACTTCAGATTGTCTTTATCTATCGGAACTGATATGATATTCTTCTATTATACCTATAACATTAAGATAGTTTTAATGTATTTATGTAATTTAAGTAACATTTTATAATTAATAGAAATTAAAACAACAAATTGAACTAGATACACAATGTATTTATTTAATAATTAGATGAATATATTATAATTATTCAAGTCATAATCCTTGATTAAACGCACAAATTAATTTTGTGCTTCCCAATTAAACATCACCATGTATCTTTCTCTAGGAGCACCATTGAGAAAATGTTTTCTGACAACACGACAGGTCCAATGCAGGCAGGTGTGCGAGCATCCTGAAGCGGTCATTGTTTACCCTGTAAACAAAAGCATCGAATTAATAATAATTCAGACTACTATAATACATTATAAAAATGTAACTCACCAAGTGTTTTCTTCTGAGCCGTTTCACTAAGTCTTCCTAAGTGAACTGCAACAAGTGGTTTTTATTTGTAACTGATCAAACTAAGTTATTAAAATGTTAGTATTGTTAATGAGTTAGTAAGACTACTGGTAAGAACATGCATGCAAGACTAAACAGTTACAAAAAGAACCACTTGTGCAAATTTATAAGAATTAGTGTTCCACCCATGCAGTTGATTGTCGACTGATCCTTCATGAGCGCTTACAGTCTGATTAGAGTCGATCGATTCAGAAGTGTGCATGTGAATCTGGAATAAAAAAAACAAAAGATTAGAACATGTCTCTTAAAATGTTTGATAAAGGATACAGACTGCCTGATAGATACTTGATAATTGTTTGATGGATTATAAGCGATGAGGGCTGTTGAATCAGAAGTGGATGATTGAATCTGAAAAAAAAACAAAAGATTGGAACACGTCTTTTAAAATGTTTTGATAAAGGATACAGACTGCCTGATAGATACTTGATAACTTCTTACTGTTTGTTGGATTGAAGGCGACTAGGGCTGTTGATTCAGAAGTGGATGATTGAATCTGAAAAAAAAAACAAAAGATTAGACACGTCTCTTAAAATGTTTGATAAAGGATACAGACTGCCTGATAGATACTTGATAAGTTCTTACTGTTTGATGGATTATAAGTGATGAGGGCTGTTGATTCAGAAGTGGATGATTGAATCTGAAAAAAAAACAAAAGATTAGAACACGTCTGTTAAAATGTTCGATAAAGGATACAGACTGCCTGATAGATACTTGATAAGTTCTTACTGTTTGTTGGATTGAAGGCGACTAGGGCTGTTGATTCAGAAGTGGATGATTGAATCTGAAAAAAAAACAAAATTAGAACACGTCTCTTTAAAATGTTTGATAAAGGATACAGACTGCCTGATAGATACTTGATAACTTCTGTTTGTTGATTGAGGCGATGAGGGCTGTTGATTCAGAAGTGGATGATTGAATCTGAAAAAAAAAAACAAAAGATTAGAACACGTCTTTTAAAATGTTTGATAAAGGATACAGACTGCCTGATAGATACTTGATAACTTCTTACTGTTTGTTGGATTATAAGTGATGAGGGCTGTTGATTCAGAAGTGGATGATTGAATCTGAAAAAAAAAACAAAAGATTAGAACACGTCTTTTAAAATGTTTGATAAAGGATACAGACTGCCTGATGGATACTTGATAACTTCTTACTGTTTGATGGATTATAAGCGATGAGGGCTGTTGATTCAGAAGGTGCATATGAATCTGGAATAAAAAAACGTAAGATTAGAACACGTCTTTTAAAATGTTTGATAAAGGATACAGACCGCCTGATAGGCACTTGAGCTCCAACAGAGATGAAAAAAAATCGATGCATCAATGTAAAAATTTATGCATATTAGAATAATTCTCCATAATTGGCGCAATGCTATCGGATTGCAAACTGCGGCAGTTGTTTATAAATCACGATAGTTTATAATTATATAATTGAGTAATACATAATGTCAAATGATTCAGATCATTACATTGTTGTTTATAGTGGATTATTGTGTTAGTGTGTCAGTCAAAACTAGAACTACGAATGCTACCTACATAATTTACTACTACCCCAAACTACTATATTAGCATGCAAGTAATTATCTGAATCACGGCATTACATAATTGATAATTTGTTAACAAAGTAGAATTAAAAAAAATTGAATGCTATATCGCAGGAGTTTATATATGTTAAATAGATAGAATTGCGCCAAATTACGTATGCCGTTCACATCTACCGTCGGCGTCACAAGTTGTTAAAACAAAAATTGCACAAAACTAAAAACAATACAAGCAAACGCGAATGAATGAATGAGAACTCTCAATGATTTGTTTGATTTTGCTTGCGTTCTCGTAACCAACTTATTATTATTGGGTACTTTCCTGGGTCTTTCTTGGTCCTGGAGGTCCTCTTGCTTTGCTGCCTATCACATAAATGAACGAGTTGACAACCGCGCAGACTTAGTTTGCCATCAAGTCGCCGGCGGAGCCACTTGACATGGCGCCAAAATGACATCGTGCGCAACTAACTCGAATTGGTCCGATTAGATAATTATCAATGTAATTATAAATTTTAATTATATTATTTTTAATTAAATATAAAAATAAAAGTAAAAATAAACATAAAAATATATATATACGAAAAATTGATAAATGAACAAAAATACTTGAGATAAATAACAGATAAATGTATAAATAAATATTGTATTAATAAACTAGTAGTGTATGGGCATCGTGCCTTCAGGCAAATTGCTGGAACTTGCAGTACAGTAATTAAATATTCGAGGCATATTAAATGTCCTAAACGGTAGTATTCATTGTTCTTATTTGTAGACAAAATATATGAGCTTATGAATTGGACGACAACGTTTATATATGTTTACAGAAAGGTAAATTAAACTTAATAGCCTAATATTTCTAAGAATTATATAAACTAAATTGAGAAGTTAAAATTATTTATTTGAAGTACATAAGTGAACTTTGGAAATTATTAAAATTAAAATTCTAATTATTTTCGATTCTAAAAATTTTTTGCTCTTTCCTAAAAGCAATCGTATAGGCACAAGCAAAAGTTTTTTGAATTATTAACTATTACCCTAGGAAAAGTTAAAATTAAAATAAAATACTAACAATAAGAAAAAATCATGAAAACAAAGATAATACTGAAAAAATAGAATAAAAACTTGACACATACTATTTTCCAATTTTGGTCTCAAACGAAACAAAAACAAAACTGTGTGTCAGTGGCATTTTGCCTTGAGGCAAGTTGCATGAATAATAACTCGATAGAACTGAGATTTACTTAAATAAAATTTACAATTGTGAATTATGAAAATATTTCTTTCGCTTTTCACTAAAAACTAATTAATGCGATTTCCAATTGATATCTATCACACAATATACTGATAGGCACACACATATTTGTTATGTCCTGAAAGTGACCTACAATTTCTTAAGTAACCTCTACTAACTTAAGGTATTCATTTAGTACATGAATTATATATAAGGATATGTTTATTAAATTAAAGATGCTAAAAAAAATTATTTAACATTTCAGCCCGGTCCTAAGTAATCAGCATGATTTCCAAATTATATCTTTCAAATAGGTTTTCGAATTTTCACAATCATTCCTTTTTTGGAAATTTCAACGAAAAGTCAAAAAATCGGCCCCAAACACTACTACTTTTTCCAAATTTGGTATCAAATGATTCAAAATAACTCGAAACGTCAAGTAAACAAAATTAGCAAATCGTCGAACACAAACTTCTTTGGGAAATTAATAAATAGTAAATTTACTTTAAAATTAAAAAAAAAAAAACTTAGCAAACCAGATTGAAACGAAATTAATGGCATTTATGTATATTTATATGATACTTTTCCTAAATTTGGTATCAAACGATTCAGAATAACATGAAATGACGA